AGAGAGAGAGAGAGAGAGAGAGAGAGAGAGGAAACCAAACCAAAACAACAACACAAAAAAACAGGCCTTCCTTCCTCCTCACCTCCTTACTCCATCCACTCCTCCACTATGGGGTTTTGGTAGGGTAGGGTACTGTTACTCTCCCCTTGAAAGTCCTTTGCTCACGCCCAAATTGACATTAGGAATTCTCTTGTTGGATTCTCTGTCCTATTTGACAGTATTGAAAACAAACTCATTTTTGTAAAATGTTCTTAAAGCTTTTTTTTCTCCCCCATTTTCTTGGTTTCTCCAGAGTTCAGCTTTCTTGCTGTGAATTTTCAGCTTCATTCTTGGGATTTGATCATCCCGTGAAAGCTTTAAAGGTTGGGGTAACCATCTGTGTTCCTCAGCTCTTCACATTCCACGTGTCTGAATATTGAAACATTACATCTTCAAATTGTCGTGTTAAGTTGTAAAAATGGTCACTCGGGGTTACCTGATTACAGACAACAGAAACAGAAGATTTTGAATTGTTATTGTTTTCTGTGTGTGGTCTCTACAGGTCATGATTTCATCTGAATTCCAAATCCTCCAGCTGCTTTAGGCTTTGTCTCCATTTCCTAAAGACCCTTTGTTGGCCTAGAATGGGAATGAGATTGGTCTCTCTTGGTTCTGAATTAATTGTGAATCTATGAGAAAATGAAGTTTGCTAGAAACCTGCTAACTCCATTTTGTTGCCTTATGGATAATATATTCTGGGGTATGCAATCCATTTCTTAAACAAGTTTATAAACAAGGTTAATATAATAGACAAACACCTTTTGCTGCAAGAGTCAGCGAGAGATAATGAAAGATCAGTGTATATTATGAATCATTATTTCAAAATGTCAGAATAAAGTGGGTCTGCTACAATCCCCAGGTCTCTTTCTCTTTAGAAGAAAATATAAGGCATACTTCTCAAATGCTAATGGATTCACTGTATTTTCTCCCATCCCACCCCCAGGTCCAGTTCTGATAATCGACGCCAGAATGGCCGAGAGAGACTGTCCAGCAGTGAGAAAGGAAGCATGGCCATGGAGTCTGCCAAGGAGACTCGCTACTGTGCAGTGTGCAATGACTATGCCTCTGGCTACCATTATGGGGTCTGGTCCTGCGAAGGCTGCAAGGCTTTCTTCAAGAGAAGTATTCAAGGTAATAGTATGTTGTCCAAAAATTACTCTATAACTCTAAAAGCAGAAGAGAACAAGAAAGGGAGACAAGGTCTTTGTACAAAGCTAAAATTTGTAGAAAACATGAATATCTATTAAGTTCCTCTGTTATCCTTGGAGAAGAGATAGACTCCCAGGAGGAGTGGACGTGCCAGGGAAGCTGTGACTGAGAATTTCTGCTTTCTCCTGGCAAGATGCCGACAGCTCTGAGGAACTCCACCTTAAGAATTAATAGCTGGGTCTCTAGTGTACAGAGAACTGTCTTTGGATTGATTCAGGGATGGCAGGCGTACATCCTTATTCTGTCAGCAACTAGGCTTTTATGATGTGGTATGGTATTCTCTGCACATAATCATCTCTCTATCTTGGCCTTGTCCAGGTAAATATTCTGTTCTGATCTTTGCTCCAGACCGATTCTGATTCAAATTGTTCTTTTCCTGTTTTACATCTTCCTTGACTCAATGGATGACATGACCTTTTTGTTAACGTGAGCAGACTCAATGTCTGATGACTTAAAAGAGGGGCACACCATTGGTACCATGTAGTTATTAAGAAGCAACTGTACTGTTTCATTCCTGCCTGCCTCAAACCCTTCTTGTATATAGTTTACCAAAGGCAGCTTTTCTGACATACCATCAGCTATATGCTATTACTACTTCAGAAATGTCAGCACTGTTACATTATACTGAATACCAGTGGAAAATGTTAGTCATTTCGACTACCTAAGGTATATGTGCTAAGGCCCTCTTGACAGGGGCAGAGGCCTGTTGGTACACTGGGCTTACTGAATTCATGTTTTGTTTTAGCTGTGGGTTATTTTTCTTTATTCTTACTCATTACCCTCACAGCTTAGTGAACCTTAGTATAGAAATACAAAGACTACGTCTGTGATACCTTCTACAGAAATGCAGGCTTAAGGAACTTGCTGAAAATCAGAACCTGCTAGATTAATAGACACTGACCCAAGACGAGAGTCTCAGGAACTTTCTGCTGTGGCTCTTCACTGCTCTGATTCCGGGTAACGACCGGGTGATGGTACACACTATTTATCTTTCCTCCACAGCTGGAAGAACATTTTTTAAAAGCCATTCATATCTTAATAGAGTAGCCTGTGAGGTCAATGTGGTCCATTTTAAAAGCATTTTCCCTGACACTTATTGCTTTCAACATCTTTTAGAATTCAGCTGCAAGACTTTGACTCTTTTTGTCTGCATTCCTACAAAAATTAATGATATTCTCTATAGCAACTCTATGTATCTCTGTGTTTGAATGCATCACATATAGACTATTAGTTTCATTAGCTGATACCATTTTAATTCAGAAAAATAAAATTTAAATCTGGCTATAAGTTAGTATAAACCTTATAAGCCTTTTGGCAAACATCTTAATTTGTGGTTTTGCTTTTTATTTGATTTCATAAAATGTAAATTATCATTGTTTTCACCAATAATATGCTTACACAAAAAATATCAATGAAGAAACTTTAGGCTTTTAAAAACATGTATTTGGACTCTAGGGAAATTTCTCAATGAATAAAACACTTGTCATACAAATGAAGTTTGGAGTTTGAATCCCCAAAACCTATGTATGCATTTTAGCCAAGTGCATGCAGCCTCTGCCTGTAATTCCAGCTTGTGGGAGGGCAGAGATACGTGATACCTGGGACAAGCTGGATGGACAGACCAGTTAGAATCAGCAAACTCTGGTTTCCATGGAAGACCTTGCTTCAATAAACAAATAAAGTGGAGATTGATTGACAAAGACAGTTGGCATCAACTTTAGACCTCCACACATATAACCCCTAAGAACACACATATACACATGAAAAAGATATGATTAGTGGATGTGTTCAGCTATGCAGCTGGAAAAGTCATTTAGTGAGAGTGAGTGTTTTCATCAGCAAACACTATTTAGGGCAGTGGTCATAAAGATTTTTTTTTTTGGTCGGAGCTGAGGACCGAACCCAGGGCTTTGTGTTTGCTAGGCAAGCACTCTACCACTGAGCTAAATCCCCAACCCAAGATTTTTATTTAAAGGGTCAAAAGAGCTGTTGTTTTAGCCTTTGCAGGCCATGCTGTCTTTGCTGCAGTCACTCAGCTCTAGTACATAAGGAGAAAAGTGAGAATAAGCAGGAGTAGCTACATGGGACGATATGCAAATAAGTGGGAGTAGCCATGGCAGATAATATGCAAATATGTGGGCCTGGCTACAAACCCATATAACTATAAATATAGGTAATTGACCAGATCTGGCCCATGGGCTATATAGTATTGGGATCCATGATTTAATTTTTATTTGCATTTATATAACCCAAGTGTCATTATTTATGAAAGGAGGTTCTTTTTTTTTTTTTTTTTTTTTTTTTTTTTTTTTTTTTTTTTTTTTTTTTTTTTTTT